AGCTGGAGAAAAAACCAAATTCTTCTCGACACACAGCCTTGTTCACCAGCCCAAGGCAGTGGGAAATCACTGGCGACAGCAAGAGAGGCTCCTAATTTGTGTACACTGGGTTGGCGTACAGAGATCTGACTGAGACTCTGCCTATCCATGCTGTGCTGTGGGCCAGCAGGACACGGCAGTGTAAGGTTGTCATGGACTTTTCAGAGAAGAAGTTCCCCTGTGTCCTTTCAGCAGAAGGCAGCAGCAACACCTGCATCTCCCAAAACCTCTGTTGCAGGTCTCAGTGTGTTCCATTGCATTCATTTCCACCAGCTGCCTACAGAAGATTTTGGAAATATCTCAGATTGCTCCAAAGAAAGAGAAGGGAGAAAAGAGCAAAGAGAGTGGGCTGCATTCTGCAGGCAGCTGGAAGAAACCCCACACCCTCCTCACAACACCACCAGCACTTCAGCTGAGAGGAGGCTGTGCTTGATCTGTTCATCCAAGTCAAGGATGGATAGAACACTCTATCCTGTTGGAAAACTTCTGTTAGTTGCACAGCTTGTTAACACAGTCTGTAATTTCTATAATATCTTTGGGAAAGGGAAACTGTATGTGGATCAAGGAGTGGAAGGCAAGCGTCCTTTCTGTCTGATAGTGAGAATACACTCTCAGCATCTGAGAAGACAAGGAAGGGAAGGCAAGGAAGCAGAGGAGGTAATGAGTTGGAAGTGATCTGCCTTGTGCAACACCTGGAAAGAGGAAAGCAGGTCCTGTTTGTTCAGGGAGAGGTTTGTGTTCAGCTCCCTCAGCAGCCTAGCCACTGTGTTTCACCCTCAGCACAGTAATACATGCCAGAATCATTGAGAAAGGCATGCTCTATTGAGAGGGTCACACTGCCCCCTTGTATCTTACTGGTCTTGAAATGGCTCTCAAGATCCTTCTCATCCACTGCATTACCACCTTCCACTACAGAAGCCACAAAGGTCAGCCTGGAGTCCTTCCCCGAAGGCAGCATGTACCAGAACATAGTTGTGCTGGTGGATTTCTTCTTGGAACATCTCAGATTCACAGAGTGGCCTTTTTGTATCACCATGTCCGGGGACTGTTCCAGAGCCAACACTGGAAAGGCAAAGGAGGAGATTTAAAGAGAAGGACAAAAAGAAAATCTGTGAACTCGGCCCTGTGGGTTGGTAGAAAAGAGGATGAAAAAGAACTCGGGAGCAGCATAAGGCATAGACAGCTCCTCAGATCAGCAAGCGAGTTCCCAATCTCTCTCCAATAGGCAAGACACTTCCTGGGAAGTTTGTGTCCAAAAAAAGGGGGCTGGATAAAGAATTAAAAATAAACCACCATTGCAAGAGATTCAAGGATTCCTTCCCATCTCGTTCATTGCTCATCCTCAACACTTTGTGGAATGAAACCCTGTCAGCAACTGAGTACACAGCTGGCAGAGCAGCAGTGGGATCCATGGAGGTGCTCGGGAGTGAGTGGAGTTCACTTACCCATAGGGGCCAGCATGGCCACAAAGAAACAGCAAGAAACCATGGGGACAAAGCCCCTATCCTGTCAGCAATCTGGCTTTTGTAGCTGTGCAGAGGTATGTGAAGAGGGAGCACTGAGTGAGGGTGAGACATACTGAGGTGGGGCAGGATGAGAAAGGTGAGAACAGATTGGCTGTCTGGGAACACTGGGGAATGATGCAAACCCTCACAGGAAAGCATAAACCCTTAAATGATGCA